TCAGTTATAAACACAAATCTTTCATTTAATATAACAAAATATGCGGAAGGAAGAACTAAATACGCAAAATACATCCATACTGCCCGATCCTGGTGTCACTAGTCATGAGTCACTAAGATACTGTCCAGTACTGTCTAGTCAATACAAGAAGAGACTGAAATAAATAACACTAAGGGTAGGAAAGAGAAAGGCGGGGCTGCGAATGTCGTGCAGCTACCTTGCTATCTCCGTAAATACTCAGAAGCTGCTGAAAGCTCTCACTCTGAAGCTCTGGCACCTGGATCTGCACACAAGGTGCAGGGAGTAACGTGAGTACGCCAACTCAGTAAGTAACCAAAGTAAATAATGTCTGAGTGCAGTGACGAGCATTTAAATCATATACATAATCTAACATAAAATCTCAATGGAAATATCAAGTCAAATCCGTAGTTCAATTTCCAAACAACTCGTAAAACTTCAGTTTCAATTAAAGTTATTTAAAATAATTGTTCAACACATTTTCAATAGAGGTTCAGTATAAAGGAGAGTGAAAATTGTAAATGTCATAAACAAGCCCCTCGGGCTAAGCATATATATATATATATATATATATATATATATATATATATATATATCGCCGTCGGCNTATATATATATATATATATATATATATATATATATATATATGGCCCCTCGGGCAGCCTCTCAGTCACTCGTGACTCAACTCTCGTCAATCAGAACTCTCACTCAGCACTCCCGCTCAATAGGTATCTCATAATAATAACTCCTGCGGCGTGCGGCCCTAGCCGTAATGTATAGTCAACTGCGCTCACTGGGGGGTGTGCAGGCTCTGGAGGGGCTCCTACAGTCCATGCGCTATATCGCTGCGGCGTGCAGCCCGATCCATATACATATAAGTATCACTGCGGCGTGCAATCCGATCCATAATATATATATATATATAAAAATATAAAATCCTCACCATCCGGCACTCGGTCTCTCTTAGTCATCAACCTCACAGACACTCGAGCATTTCCGTGAAAAAATCAGGGAAACTCAGCCCAAACATCTTCCAAATATTTAAAATAGAGTAATGAAACTAAATCTAAAGTAAACAGGTAAAAATCATGACTGAGGATATGCTTTCAAATCAAAACAGTGTGAAGAAAGTAGTAAAATACTCCTGAGGGTCCAAACAGTTTGGCACAAGGCCCCAAACATGGCATTCAGCCCAAATTAACAGATTCATTTCTAAAACACATAGATATCATTTAGAGTTTATCAAAATAAGCAACTCTACAGTTTCTACGGGACGGACCAAGTCACAATCCCTACCGGTGCACGCCCACACGCCTGTCACCTAGCATGTGCGTCACCTCATTTATCAAAATAGTATGAAATTCCGGATGAAATTCTTCTCCGCGATGCCCTTGCCTCTCGACTCGTCCTCAACTTGCCCCGAATCTATCCAAAATAAGAATCATAACATCAAATAGGCTAAAGGAACAAAGCCCACGCGAAAATAATCAAATTACATCAATAAATCCCGAAATTGGTCAAACCCGACACCCGGGCCCACGTCTCGGAATTCTATAAAAATCACATCACTAGAATCCTTATCCTCCCATGAGTCTATACATATCAAGATCATCAAAATCGGACCTCAAATGGCCTCTCAAATCTCCAATTTAAACTTTCCAATTCCAAGCCCTAATTCTCCAATAACCCTTAAATTCAACTAATTTCATGTCTAATCAGTTATAAATTACCATAGAATCGAGTATTGAGTTCAAAAATCTTATCTCCAAGCGTTACCCCTCGAATCCCTCTTCAAAACCTCTCAAAAAGCTGCAAGCCCGTTGATGATAGGCTATAATTACGTATTTTAGTCGCTTATTACACTCAAATTTACTGCACTTCAGTTGAGTTTGCGTTTTAATCGTTAGTAGATTTGCACTAATTGTGTGTTTTATGCCTTGTAGGAGTGATTCCGAGCTATATAGATGTTATGGAATGAATTCAAGTGATTTGGAGCTTTGAAGTCTGAGTAAAAGCCCAAGAAATTAAGCCGAGATCGTATTCGGGGATCAACGGATGATAGAGCAACAAAACGAAGAATCAACTAGGCATATTGCACACTGTCTAGTAAAATACACATAACATTTCGCTCAGAACTCCATTTGTACTCCATAATATATGGTTGGAAATCTAACTCAAAGGGCTACAACTTTCATGTTTTACGTTTTTCCAAAATCTAAACGGAGCAGGGTGAAAAATGCGGTCGAAACCGCGACCGTGGACCTGGATGCGCACTGAGGCAGTACACTGTGTAAATACCGCGCCCGGACCGCGACCGCAGCGTCCAGACCTGAAAAATTGTCCTTTTTCGCGTAAGATAAGGTATAATTGTTTGGGCCCAACCCTACTTGGTATATATACATGAAAAAATGGTATTTTAAGGGAGGAGACTAATATTTTGACACAGATTCGACCTAAGGAGGCAGAGACACAATAGGAGCAAGGCGGAGAATTCTTCTACGAGTTTTTCCTTCCTCTTCCTATTTTTTCATTGTGGTTATGACTTTTAGTATTGTAGTTTTATATACTATTATGAATAACTAATTTGTTATCTAGGGTTTTGATAGAACCTTTTGTAGGATAAATTCTTGTTATGTTTTTATATAATTGAGCCGTTGGATTTCTCTACTTGTTCAACTACGTATTGTTGTTGTTGATTGAATGGCCATCAATTGACTGTGCCTATTTAGTGTGTAGTGCTCGAGAGAGAGTACATATTTAGGTAGTTGTTGAACAACGTCACTCCTAACGTATGTGAGAAATCAATACAGTGGGTTTAAAGGCAGTTTTAGAAATAACAAAGCCTTGACGTGGTCATAATGAGCGGTTAGATAAAGCCAACTAGCGTAGTTCGAGAGAATATGTCTAGTAAATTGTTGTAGTTGCTCGAGAGAGAATTACGACATCTAAAGTGCTCACGATCAGTAGAGAATACATTGGCAAAATTGTAGGGAACATAGCTAGAAGGATTCCGACAATTGGGGAAATCATAACTCTAGACCTCCTTAATTTAGTCTCCAACCCTTTGTCTCGTTAGTTGATAATTTTACCGTTTTCTAGTATTTGCTAGCTAATTAGTTAGAAATATAAATCTCAATCTTTATAATTTAGAAAATTGTTCAAACTTGTCTTTTTAGTGATATTAAACAGATATAGCTAAGCCTTAGTTCTCTGTGGGATTCGACTCCGAACTTTTAGACCGGATTATATTTGCAGCGACCGCTTATCCTTTTTAGGAATAGAGTTGGGCGTGATCACCCGTCTCAAAAATGGTGAAACAAGGCTGAAAATTGCGAAGGAAAGCTTATATTCTTTCTGACCCTGGTACTCTGCACCTATGGTCCTTTACCCGCTTCTGTGGTACCGCCTCTGTTTCTAACCAACCGCATATGCGGTTTTCACTTATTTCCCTTAAACCGCACCTGCGCCTCTCTACCCGCACCTGCGGTCCCGCAGGTGCGTTCCATCTTTCGCACCTACCGCTTCTGGCCTGCTCGCTTGTGGCCGCATCTGCGGCTGCTTCCTCGCTCATGCGGACGTCGCACCTGCGGTTCCCACTCCGCAGGTGTGGTTATGATAGAAATAGCAGCCGAAGCTGCTCAATAACCAAAACCAAACTTTCCGACAACCTTCCGAAATCATCCCGAGGCCTCCGGGACCTCAACCAAAAATACGAACAAGTCACATATCACTATTCAAACTTATACCAAACTTCGGAACACTCAAAACATCAAAACACTCTCGGATTCAAGCTTAAGGATTCCAAATCTTCCGAATTCCGCAAACGATCAAAACGCCTATCAAACCTCACCCCGAATGACCTGAAATTTTGCACACACATCATAAATGACACAACGAACCTACTCCAATTTCCGAAATTCCATTCCGACCCCGATACCAAAATTTCAATTTCGCCAATTCAAGCCTAAATCTACCACGGACCTCCAAAATACATTCCGATCACGCTTCTAAGTCCCAAATCACCTAACGAAGCTATCTGAATCATAAAAACCAAATTCCGAGATCATTTACTCACAAGTCAACTTCCGGTTGACTTTTCCAACTAAATGGCCAACTTAAGAGACTAAGTGTCTCATATCACTCCAAAACTACTCCAAACCCGAACCAACCAACACGATACAATAAAATGTAGTTGAACAACACATAAGGAAGCAGAAATGGAAAAAACGAGGCTGTAACTCATGAAACGACCGGCCGGATCATTTCACATTTAATTTTAAAATACAGTGAAGTACAATAAAATACACTGAAAAATCATTCTAGTTAATTGGTTGATAATGAGACATGTAAGAATTGATTTTGTTGAGTTATATTAAGAGTGTACACGCTAATTAATATTATTTCCGTTATTAGACAGCTGGACATATCTATTTTTTAGGTGATTGTCGTTATTGTATTCATGAATACATGGCGCGAATACATTTGAATACATGCGCGTACAGCTGGACTGCCATAATTTTAGGCGCTTTTTGCTGTTGTATTCATGAATACAGCAGCGCAAATACATGTGAATACACTACAGTAACAACTAAATATTAGATATAGGAAGTAATTGTGTATATTATAGTTATAAGAGTTAATAGCCACTAAACAATAGTGGTTTCTAAAAACTCCTCGAAAAAAGGGGTCTTTTTTCACTTTTTTAGCCCGCGCCAGAAACTATTTACATTAGGTAGCTGAAAATTTTTATAATTTTTGTACAGAACACAGAATGTATATATATACTACATTTTTTCGGCTACTATTTTGAAAGTGGCTATACAGTGTCATTTTCTCAAAAAAAATAAAGCAATATAGAAATTACAACTCAAATCTTCATAATAAGATAAATCTACAAGTGCCAATGTTAGTGCTCTTGATCTCAGCATCATAGGCTTTTAAAGGGTTAAATTTCAGGAATCTCATAAACTGATCGCAGGAGGATATTGCATGTTGGATTCTTTTAATAAATTGTGTGTCTCATTATCAGACAGGTAAAAGCATATTTGAGAAAGAAAAACAATTCAGAAACACTGGATATAAACTGCTCAAAATGTACATACAACAAGTCAGTAAATGTTTCCTATTTTGTTTTTTCAAAGAGTAATCTCACTCAGTCTACATCATGTTCTTTCTCATGACTTTTGACCCCTGAGGTAAGTTCAGCTTCAAATGCCGCAGAAGGCAACCTCTCGTATACCCGGGAACCGACTGGTAGAAACTTAATCTTGCCCAGTTTAAGTGTTTGGCTAAGCTTCTCATAATTCCACCTCTGCTGAATATATACTACAACTGCAAGAACAACTGCAGCCACAGGTATTGCAATGTCCCCAAACTTGGTGTAAAAATCAAACCTGGGGTTGACAAACTCATATTCCTCAGAGAAGTAGGGATTAGGAACAGAAGATCTGATGTAATCATATACATGAGGCAGAAGTCTAACCGACGTAAGCCCAATATAGTATAGCTTTCTGAGTGGTTTGCAATGGATTTGCCAAACAAGGTTGCCTATTACTTGAGGAAGCAAAAAGAAATCTTGAATCAAACCCATATACTCCTCCAATTCAGTTTCCCATTCCCTCAACGTGTGGAAATTTCCAGTGGAATCTACGTAACGCTCAGCACGAAGAGGTTTCTGGCTTGTATTAAAGGAGTGGATGAACAGAACAATGGTATATCCAACAGCATGTATTATCAGTGTACTGAGAAGTACCCACTTATCACTTGGAACGCGATGTGATTCAAGAGGGTTCCTCGTCAGTAATCTGATACGGGATCTCCACACCTTTTGGCTGAGCCTCACTGTTACTAAAAAGGCAACAAGCACAAGAACCTTGACAGCGTAATCAATCAGACGGATCCACTGGCTGTTATCAAGATCGTAAGACGGAGTCTCATTGGTTTCAGCACCCATCATTTTGAACAAAGACTCTGCACCTGTGATCAAAGGAAGGCTGTAGCCAAGAGCTTGGACACCTAGCATCGCAAGCGAGACATAAGGTACTGATTCTGCATTATCTCTGATGTAAAATAGTTGGCTGGAAATGCAAAAAATTGCCACAGAGAGTGTCAAGATGCGGAGGATTCCCTCTACGCCCCTGCGCGAAAGAATTTCTTCTCGTTGCTTTCTGTACATAATGGGGATTGTTTGAAGGTTCACAGGATTAAAATAGAGTGGATCATCCTCATTCCTTTGACTAGATACGGAGATTTTAGCTGCTGGATTGACCAACCAACGAGCAGTGGTTGGTGGATATGATATAACCACCTCGATTAGACAATCCAATCCAGCCTCAAGGTCCATACTTTCTGATAAAATTTTCCAGGAGGCTCGAACATCCCTGCAACCAATGAGGTACATTTTTCCAACATGCGCATCATACAACCCCTCTATGAAAAGCAAAGAGATGTTGTTGTATGATGTTCCAGCGAGACTGAGTTGAGCAGAAATATTTAAGAGCAGCTGTTTCTCTGTGTATTCAGCTTTAGCATGATACGAGTTCTCTTTTTCACTGATTGAGCCATTTGTCAAAGGCCCAAACATTGGACCAAGAGACAGAATCTCCATCTCAATATCAAATCTTTGGTGAGCTGAATCAGGGATTTGATCCGCTACTGCTGATGTGTGAAGGCTTAGATCTTCAGAAATAATTGAAAGGCTGACTGTAAAAGAATCTGCATCTTCCAGTTTTGGGAACGTCAACAGCGATTTCTTAAACATTGAACCAAAGTTGAAGGGCTCATTTTTCTCAAGGACTGCAGCAGCTGCATCGAGTTTTGAGTACTTGTAGTATGGACGAGAAGCAGTGTATTGATCCCACAGTTCAACAGGGCGGATTAGTTTCTCAAATAATAAAGGGAAGTAAGGCCTACCACTTCCATCGATGCTGGAAAAATGGCCAGTGATTATGCTCCTCTGTGTTATGGAAAAAGAGAGCGGAACATACAAGCATATTCGAGAATCACAGGTGCTGCCTTGCGCACCAGCAAGTCCACGGCAACCAACCATACAAAGCTGTCCACTGGAAGATTTCCAGATTCCCTCAGCGGAAAGAGTCATGTTATTAAGTCCAGTCCTTTGTGCTGCGGTGAACTGATTCTCAAACGGAGACACCACTCTAAACATGGAAGAGACCCTTGTGAAAGTGTCATTATCTTTAAAAGAACTTTTATCACATCGAACATCCTGAAGGACAAGCTTGACATCTTTAAAACCTCCATCCGTGGCCTTTATCTCCTTATCTGATTTAAATGGACCCAGTTGACTGCAAAAATTATCCGTACCGTTGCATTTCCAGTTTGGAACAACTGTTAAGGCTTCTTGGTGAGTGAATCTCTGAAGAATATAACAGAAGTCAAGCCCTCTATATGTATTTATGTCAGTACTCAGACTATCTTTATACGGGTATGGATCACAAGCTTTTGACACAAACTTTTCCGAGCCAAATTCGTACTTAGAAGAAGTTCCTAGCCAAGAAGACATATGAACTTCATCAAAGTACTTAAAACTGGCTTTTGGGTTTAAGCTTTTCATGGTTCCAACAATAGCTCTATTTGTCAGTGTATTTGTTATAGGATAATGAAGCACGAGCAAAATTCGATCATCTTGCATAAGAGGTGGCTGATTAGTATAACCAGATTCCTTTACCCACTCCCATGGATCACTGGATTCTTGCTGACGAGAAGGCAACATGGTTGTCCCTAACAAACACATCACTCTTTCCCCTTGACTTTTCTTCGATTCAATGTATACTCCTTCAAACAACACAGAGAGCTGGGAATGACCGGGCCATATATCAAAATGAGGACTTCTTTCGTAGGGTTTACTCGAAAACAACCCATCTAGGGTGACACCAATCTGCAATATACCACTCACACTCACAGACTTCTTAGACCGATGAGTACGATCAACATCAGTAACCCAAAACGAAACTAAGTTCGACGGAGATCGAAGATCTAATGATTTGTTCAAATCTCTATCATCAAAGGGCATTAATGAAGCCCCACTGGACACTTGCCACCAATCTCCATTCAAAAAGGATAATTCTTGTTTTATGCTATAGATTCTGTTATCATCAGGTTTCATTTCAGAAGCAGAAGCTAAAACAAAAGCACATTCTTTCTTGACCTCATCAGTTCTTTCATATTTGTAAGTCATAGAAGTTCTAGTCCTAGGTCCTAACTCTCCATCTACTACTACATAAGAATCAACGAAACCTACTGACAGCAGCATCAACCAGATAATACCAGCCATTGTCCAATAAGAAGCAAAAAAAGACTTGACCCCCATTATAGTTAATACTGAATTGTAAACCACTCTTTAATCAAGATTACTCATACTCATAAAGAACCCACTATCAAAACACAAATACAAAATAGGGAAGTTAGCAAAATTAAGTCTTTGATCACAAAATTACTGAATCTTGACTAGGAAGCAGCAAATGAACTAACCTGGTAACTCAGTGGTTACTTAAAATCTTGATACATAGCAAGAAAAATGGAAATCAGAAGAGTATGATTTGAGATGGGATTGTGAAATAGATTAGTTGGGAAAAAACAATGGTGCTTTGATTTCTTATTTTGATTTTGAGTATTAGGGTAAGTAAGAGAGTAAGGTGTGAAGTTGAAGTCAAGGCAGCTGATGATGGTGACACTGGTGACTGGTGACTGGTGACCGGGATACCGGGTTAAGTCGAATCTATTTCGTACAAGCCGTGTCTCTAACTCATATAATCTGTGTCTTTTTTATTTTGCTCGGAAAAGAACAAAAATAGACCCTTAATTAATAAGCAGAGATCTGAGTTAATCAGTTTACTTAATTCTCAGTTAATTAAACCTCCTTAGCCCTTTTGGAGCTGGAAAGAAATGTGTGCGAATGTGACAATGAATCTTCTTACTAATTTATCAAACGAGAGAATTTTACTGAAGTGTCACCTAAGTATAACTTATTAAGTACTCCAAAACATTTGCATATTGATCATTGTTTATTTTCAGAGTATTTGTTTGATCATATGTTCAACTTAGAGCCCGTTTGGATTGGCTTTTCAGCAGAAATAGCTTTTAAGCCAAAAAGCAATCCAAGTGGGTACTAAGTTGGGGTTGTCCAGCTTATTGCTTTTGGCTTGTTTTAAGTAGTTTTTAACTTATTTTAAGCACTTTTCTGACTTTCCCAAACACTGAAAAAAGCTAAAAAGAGCTTAAAAGCTGATTTGAACAGCTTAAAAGCCAATCCAAACACCCTCTTATTATACCAATATATTAAGAATGGCATGAAAATAAGAAATAATTTACATTAAATATACTCCTATTAGTTACATCATATCATCATATCATACTATATTATAATCATGAAGATCAAAAATTGAATGTGAAAGACCAAAATAACCCTATAAAATTAAGTGACGCGATACCCTTCAAAAAATTATACCTTCATAAATAAGTATAAAATATTTTGGTTCCCTCAACCTTTTGCAATTAATATTTCAAAATTCTTATATAACTTTGCATAACTATGGGAAAAAATATTCTTTTTGTTATGTTTCTATTATTGTCAGTCGCTTCTTACTTAATTGTTCACAAAATTTTACAAACATTTAATTCTTCCATTCTTTAAAAAAAATATATCATGTACAAATAAGTATTAGTTTCTTTTTTTGTTTATTGCACGGATCATTTCGCTAAAACATCAAAATGGAACAACTTCAACAATATCCACAAAAAAATATTAAGTGAAATATACGGTCATATTATATGTTTGTAACTCATAACAACTAAATTTATGTAATTATAAAATACACTTGTCTAACTAAATGTAATTATTGATCTTCGCAAGCTATCCAGTCGATTTGAGTTCAACTCTACATCTCTAAAACTATTTATTATTTTTAGCTTGTATTTTTTTCTTTTGAAATTTTAGTGTAATATTTAACATGTTTTAATAATATTTTAATTTACTGCTTGTACGCAATAATACATGCAACGCACGTATCAAGAAACTAGTGAAAATAAATATCTAAGTTACATTGCAATATTGAAGCTCAAGAACCAAAAGAAGAAGTCTCGTAAAGGATGAGACTTAGAAACTCAAAAGAAGGAAAGATATTGTAAATTATGTAATGATTTTATTATTGAAAGAGAACATGTTGTGATTCACAATTATTGAAGATTACTAGTAGGGAAAGCCCGGGCCCAACGTGAATAAAGCTATATTATTTTCGACAAGGAATGAGTTTGTATCCAGAAGAAAAATAGAAGATTACACATCTGCTGTAAAAATGTTACTCATTTCTAATTCATATGTTTCCAAAAAAGTATGGCCTTTCCGTAGCACCTGCTGAAATGGAGCTATGTAAGATAACAGCAATTAGAATTATTATCAACAAAGATGATAAATTATTATGTCAAATAAACTCTAGCAACACTGAAATAAATTTAGCAATTAAATAATTAGGAAATATATCTTTACGGATCAGTTTCTAGCCTAAGCACTTGTGTATCATGTTGATAATTTTAAATTTAGAACTGGTAAAAAAGGTAATACGATTGGTGTAGACATGCTTGTCAAGAAGGCATCAGCAGGAAATAATTCTACAGTCAATGATATAGATACTTGATATCATACAAATGATTTTACTATTAACCACTTGCGAAAGAAATATGCGTGTAAGTTGTATCGATGTTTAGTTAAAATTACAAAATGAACTAAAGCTTTCTCCTAAACATTCAGATCGGTAGGAGTTCCGAAAAGTACCGTTACTCAAAATAACAAAACGCTACAAATTAAAATAATTAGTCATGTAATCATGTTAGCTATGAACTGTCAAACGGAATGCAATAAGTTAACACATGCTTCATAACAAACTATTCTGTACGCGGCCAAAATCGGGGAGTTCAACTTTGGGGCTACTGTGGCACTCCACGCCCAACCTCGAGAAGCTTGAAGCATAATTTGAAGTGTGACCCCGAGGTGCGTCCTCGAGGGAACATATCGAAGGTTCATTGTGGTCAATCTCGGAGCAGCACAAATCGATGATCGTCATGGAAAGACGAGAAAGCTCCCAAGGACACGTGGTTGGAGCTGACCAGGTCTGCAAGAATAGTACAAATCCGTACTGAGCCATTATAAAGTTGTACCAATAGAATTTCCTCATCATTATTAGATGTACTATGTTGGGATTCCCCCTTTCTAAATAAAGGGGGCCCTTGTCATTTTGTAACACACATGAATATTGAATACAATAGAACATTATCTGCTTTTTTTGCCTACATGTGCTCTACAATCACTTTACAAATTTTATTGCTTGTTCATTTGTTGTTCATTCTTTGTTCTTCATTTATTGCCCATTACTAACCGCAACAGGCTATCTTCAAAGGCGTTCGCTATCATTGTTTCTTCATCAGTTGATTCATCACTAACTGCCCTATCTAGACCTTGAGGCCTCCTGTTCCAGTCAGCTCGAGGCCTAGTCTTGCAACAACATTGATTTGCATATCTTATTTCTCTTTACTTACACTTAGCATCTATTGCCAAACAACTAGTAATGAAATAAATCACATATTTTTAGAACCACAAAATCAAATATAATTATTAATACCATTTTCAAGGCAAACAGTTTGGCATCCACCGTGGGGCTAAAAATAATAGTGATTCTTTTGGTGCTAGTTTTCTGAAAAACACAAGTTATTCTTCACACTTTTTCGTGTCCAAAGTATCTTTGATTTCAGGTCAAAAAATGTCTAACTCAGCAAATGCACTCAAAAATAACAGTATTGGGCTTCATGGAGAGAACGGTGCAGATGCCGGTATACCACCGCAAAACCTAGGGGTGGCACCAGCACAGATCCCCGTCGACGTGGGCTAACGCAACGCTGTGCTTATCGATCTGAGCTCTCATACCAACGGAAGTGTGCGAGGGGAAAACCAACATGAAGCACAGGGGACTCCAGCTCGGGAGGAAAGAGAAGTTAGCCTTCAAGTCATTTTTGAGATGTTGCAAGCACAACAAGTGGCTATTGCTCAGCTACAAAGTCAACAAAAAACTCCAAGCACAGCAGCACTGAAAATGGATCCTTGAGTCGAGCAAGCACCAGAAAGATTGAGTAACAACAGGTCAGCAGCACACCCCGCTATTATGATGATGCTCGAAGTCCTCACCAAAAGGATTAAATCAGGAGAAAAGAAGATAGAGGCTAACGATAAAAAGGTGGAGACTTATAACTCGAGGGTCGATTAGATCCCGGGCGCACCCCCAATTCTGAAGGGTGTAGATTCAAATAGGTTCTTGCAGAAACCATTCCCATCAAGTGCGGCTCCGAAGCCCATCCCGAAGAAATTCAGAATGCCCGATGTCCCGAAGTATAACGGGACCACGGACCCCAATGAGCATATTACCGCTTATGTTTGTGCTGTAAAAGGGAATTACTTAAAGGATGATGAAATTGAGTCCGTCTTGTTGAAAAAATTTGGAGAAACACTGTCAAAGGGGGCCATGATGTGGTATCACAACCTACCCCCGAACTCAATAGATTCGTTTGCCATGTTGGTAGACTCTTTTGTGAAGGCACACGCTGGTGCCATCAAGGTCGCCACCAGGAAGTCCGATGTCTTCAAAATCAAACAGAGAGAAAACGAGATGTTAAGGGAATTTGTATCCCGCTTTGAGATGGAGCGAATGGAATTACCACCAGTTTCCGATGACTGGGCAGTACAGGCCTTCACTCAAGGCTTGAACGAACGAAGATCAGTAGCTTCGAAGCAGCTAAAACAAAATTTGATCGAATATCCCGCCGTAACTTGGGCGGATATGCCCAACATGTATCAATCGAAGATCAAGGTTGAAGACGATAGATTAGGAGCCCCCTCGGGCTTAGTATATCCTAGCAAGATCTTAACAAAGGAACAAAGGTTTACATAAAGGGAGTCGAGACCAAACAAGGAAAGATACCAGCCGTATGTAGAAGATCGAAGAAATACCCCGAGGCGTAATATACCTCGAGGCGATCGAAGGACAGATCGAGGTCAAAGTTCCCGGGGACTCATGAGTAATGCCAGCTTCGATAGGCACACTGGGCCAGTAGAGGCACCCCGTCTATCTGAGTACAACTTCAATGTCAATGTCTCGGACATCGTGTCGGCCATAAGTAAAATCAATGATACCAAGTGGCCAAAACCCATACTGTTAGATCCTTTACAGAGGAACCCTAACTTGGTATGCAAATATCACGGCACTCACAGTCATAAGACCGAGGATTGCAGCCAGCTTCGAGAAGAGGTGGCCCGACTGATCAGCGAAGGGCACCTTCGAGAGTTCCTCAGCGACCGAGCTAAGAACCAATTTCGGGAAAGAGAGGCGAATAGGAAAAACGAACTAGAAGAACCACAACACGTCATCCACATGATCGTGGGAGGGGTCGACGCCCCGTTATCAAGAGGACGAAAATATCCATCACCAGGGAAAAGCGAACTCGGAGTTACATACCAGAGGATGCTCTCACATTCAGCGAAGAGGATATCAAGACCTTGTCTCAGCCTCATAATGACGCATTGGTAATTTCTTTTCTTTTGAATAAATTTCAAATCAAACGTGTGCTCGTGGATCCAGGTAGCTCAGCCAATATAATCAGGTCGAGGGTGGTCGAGCAGCTCGGACTGCTTGACCAGATCGTACTCGCCTC